TTTATCAATGGTTGGTGGCAGTAGATTATCTTTCCCAGATATGGTGAATCCCTTATTTCTTCATCCCTCCGATAATGCTACTTCAGTGCAAGTAGACAAGCTACAAGGATCTTCTGATTACAGAGTTTGGCGCAGAACAATGGAGATTAATCTATCCTCCTAACGCAAGCTTGGATTTGTTCTTGGCACAGTTGAAAAACCAACTGATGATGAAATGAAAGCTGAACTTTGGAACACCTGCAATGATATGGTAATAGCCTGGATCACTCATAATGTTTATTCTAATGTTAAGAAATCTATTATGTTCATGACTTTTGCCAGAGAAATTTGGTTAAATCTGGAAACGTTTCTCTCTAACAAATGGTTGCAGAAAATACAAACTTAACAAAGATCTGTTTGAAATAAAACAAAATTCAATGCCTGTGAATGAATATTATACTATGATGAAAGTAATCTGGGAAGAATTGGATGCTATGAATTTGTTTCCTGCTATTTCTAATCCTAGCCCAGAAGTGCAATCCTTGTTGTCTGCTTCTGATACTCAGAGAGAAGAAGCAAAATTATTTCAATTTTTAAATGGATTAGATGAAGTGTACAATCCTCAGAGAAGTCAGCTACTTCTCATGACCCCCTTACCCTAAGCAAAAACTGTTGCTGCTGCTTTGGAGCAAAAAGAAGCTCAGAGAGAGGTCCTGAATCTCAATAAAAATTCTGGTGATGCAATGGCTCTGTACAGCAAACCTGCTGGAGCTGGCAGATCCTTTGTGTGCACTGATTGTGGTGTTAAGGGTCATAGAAGTGACAGGTGCTGGACTGTCATTGGCTATCCCAGTTGGCACTCTAAGCATAATCCTTCCACCTCTCAGAATAGATCTAGATCTGCTGCTCCTCAGAGATGGAATTCTGGATCTAAGAATACAGGCACTAGACTTGCAGCTGCTGCGCACACCAGCTCAGACACTGGAGGTTTGTTGTTTACACCTCAACAATTGGAGCAGTTAGCTAAAATGATGCCTAAGCTAATAACTCAGACCAAAGATTCTAAAACTGATGAAGAACTAGAACATTTCTTAGGAATGATTTCATGTCATGCTGCAGTCAGTCTAAATGAATGGATCATAGACTCCGGGGCATTAGATCATATGACTCCTCACCTAAATAATCTGAGTGAATCTAGAGTTGTGCACATCACACCTAAGATCAACCTTCCAACTGGTGATAAAGCAACAATCACTCACATGGGAACTTCTATCCTTGAGACAGGTCTTAAACTTGAAAATGTTCTGTGTGTGCCACTATTCAAACACAATCTTCTATCTGTTTAAAAGCTGATTCAGAACAGCAAATGTGAGGTTCAGTTCTATCCACACTATTGTCTAATTCTTGACAGCGTCACAAAAGAAATCACAGGCATGGGAAGAATGAGAGATGGTTTATACTATCTGGTGAATCACCTCACAGACTCCTGGGTACAGGACATCTTGCTCAAAAGCAAGATAACTGCTCTCACCTCTAAATGCAATAATGGGAAGGATGTGCCTAATAATTCTAATTCTCTTATTCTCTGGCATAACAGATTGGGGCATGCCTCTCTTGGAAAACTCAAGCATATTTCCTATGTGAAACCTTACACTCAGCAAAACACACAAATTTGTATTACTTGTCCTATGGCAAAATTCACAAAGCTCTCATATACCTTGAGTAATTCACATGCTCAAGAACCCTTTGAGTTGATTCATATGGACATCCAGGGCCCATATAAAGTTTGTTCCATGGGCAAGTACAAACTATTTCTCACAATAGTAGATGATAACAGCAGAAACACTTAGGTGTATCTACTGAAATACAAATCAGACTCTCTCAAGACCCTGGAAACCTTTCAGGCTAGTGCTCTAACCCATTTTCAAAAGAAAATCAAGTTTGTAAGGTCTGATAATGCCTTAGAATTTGATGAGGCCCCTCTCAGTCTTTCTTTGCCAAGCATGGCATTATACATTAGACATCTTGTGTTAAAAGACCTCAGCAAAATGCTCGAGTGGATAGAAAGCACAAGCATGTTCTAGAAGTAGCAAGGGCTCTGAGATTTCAAGCTTCCCTGCCCTTGATGTATTGGGGTGAATGTGTTCTAACTGCAACACATATAATTAATAGGCTTCCTTCACCTGTTCTCAATAATAAAACTCCATTTGAATGTTTGTTTCATAAACCGCCTGACTATGAACACTTAAAAGTGTTTGGTTGTTTGGCCTTTGCCTACAACCCTGAGTACCCAACTGATAAATTTGCAGCAAGAGGGGTACCTTGCCTGTTCTTAGGGTATCCTGCAACCCAAAAGGGTTACAGACAAAAAAATCTGCTCACCAAACAAGTGTTTGTGTCTAGGGATGTAATGTTCCATGAACACATCTTTTCATACCACTCTGATTCTCAATATTCCTATATGCAACCTATGTCTGAGTCTGTAACTACTGATCCCTTTGATTTTGATGATTCTGAATCTGAGTCTGATGACACACCTTCTCCTCCTTTCTTTTCTTCTTCACCTTCTACACCTCATAACACACCCTCTCCCACTCATTCTCCAAACATTACACCAAATAATTCTCCTAGCCCTCCACTAATCCCAGTTAGAAAAATCAACCAGAACACACAACCTACCTATTTGGAGCAAAGATTATATCATGCTCAATAAACCAAGCTTTCATATATCCAACCTTGCTTTCACCACTGTTCAACCTGATTTCAACTGCTTTTGGTCTTCCCTAACCAAAGAAACTGATCCTGTTCACTTTAAGGATGCAGTGAAATACTCTCATTGGGTCAAGGCTATGAACTCTGAGTTGGAAGCCCTTGAACTCAATAATACTTGGGATATAACTACTCTACCTGCTAGTAAGAGTGCCATTGGGTGTAAATGGTTGTATAAAACAAATACAACCCAGATGGTACTATTGAAAGGCATAAATCCAGACTTGTTATTCTTGGATGTAAGCAGCAATATGGTGTTGATTATTCTGAAACTTTTGCTCCAATTGCCAAAATGACAACTGTGAGAACTCTGTTAGTTGTTGCAGCTCTTAAGGTTTGGCATGTTGTTCAAATGGATGTCACCAATGCCTTTCTGCATGGTGATCTTTCTGAATATGTTTACATGAAATTGCCTCAAGGTTACACAGGACTTGGTAGCAGAATTCAGATGGTTGCAGATGCCTCTCTTATTCCTAAAGCTGACTCCTCCTTGGTATGCAAGCTTAACAAGTCTCTGTATGGACTCAAACAGGCACCAAGACAGTGGTTCCATAAGCTGTCCTGTACTCTTCTACAACTGAGCTTCACTCAATCCAAATCAGATTATAGTCTCTTCACAAAACTTCAGAATAACTCTCTCACTCTCATCTTGGTTTATGTGGATGATTTGCTAATTTGTGGCAATAATACGGATGAAATAAATAATCTTAAATCTCTTCTCTCTGAAGCTTTCCATATGAAGGATCTTGGTCCAGTTAGATACTTCCTTGGTATTGAGATAGACAGATCAGAAGATGGATTTTTTCTTTCTCAAAAGAAATACTGACAGGGTAAAGTCGTATCCCCTAATCAAAAGTAAATACCTAAGTCCTCTAACTAAAGTAGATAGGGAGGTAGGGTCGAACTCCACAGGGAAACAAGTCTTTTTACTCCTAATTAATTATTATAATCTAAATTATCTATGTAACCAATATTTTTGGGAATAAATTCTATACTATGAAGAATAAGTTTAGGGAGAAAAACAATAATAAGAAGGCCTAGGGTCACAGGTTCACCAATAATTATTATTCTGGGATAAAACATAATAATTAATAATTAACATTGCACAAATAACATGATTAACAGGCTCTCGCAATTTATTAATCAACATAGATCTAACAGGTTCTCGCAATTTACTAGATCTAAGTTCCTATTAAAAATAGCCTTTAATATTAAATTAACATCTGCTCGATTCATCAATTCAATATTGCTAAACATTCACAATCAAATTACATCTGCTCGATTCATAATCTAATTGCAAAGAATTAAAACAATTCAATAATAAATTATCATGCAATACCAATAATCAATAATAACAAATTATCCCGTCATATTAATTATGGATCCCCATAAACCCTAGAATTAAACTACTCAGACATAATTAAATCTAAACTAAACAAAGTAATTAAAGGAGACATGATAAAGAGCAAGAATTAAGAGAAAGAGAATAGTAGTATTAAAGTAACAAGGAAACAAAATAATAAAATTGATAGAGAGTAGAGATAGAAAGAAAAAACTAAAAGAAACTAAATTAATCTAAAAAAACTAAAACTAAGAAAAACTTGCGTAAAAAATAAAGAATTAAAAATCATAGAAAGCTTACATAACTCCCCCCTAATACTCTATCCTTTTTATAAGGAAAAATAACCCAAAAGCTGCGTAAATCTCAAGGCCACTAAAGTCAGAAGCCGACTTAAGGAAAGCTGGAGTAAGGCCCAAGGAAATCGAGCCCATCAGCTTAAACGTGCCTCATCTAACCCAGCCAGTTGCTGCCCGATTGGGCCCATCCATTTATCACGCCCAACAGGTTTCAACTTGGGCTTTTAGAGTTTATTAGCCCCTGTTTCTTCACTTGCTTGGTCCGTAATAATAACTTGTATAATCTTGTAAAATCTTGGACCTCTTCATATATCGAGTCCTTAATCACCGAACTAAATTTCTTTAACTCGGGCTTGGACTTTAAATATACGGTCATAAAATACGCTCCGATTCTAATATCTTCGTAGTGGTTCAATTAGCTCGGAAATTATCATAATTCTGCAAATTCCTACAAAATAATACTAACTCTATAAAAACACTAGAAAACGTATATTAGTAATAAAAATAGCTCCGTAGAGCTCAAATAAGCACAAATATGACCGTGGGACGGGGAATAAAAATATATATAAAATAGACTTATCAAATACACTACTGATATTCTTAAAGAATTTGGTATGCTGAATGCCAAACCTTTAAAGCTTCCTATGGACAGTCACCTAAAGTTAACTGCTGACAAGGGTGATATTATTTCTGATCCTAGTCTGTACCAAAGACTGCTTGGCAAACTAATCTATCTCTTTATTACAAGGCCTGATATTGCCTTTTCTGTTCAAATTTTGGCTCAGTTCATGCTAAATCTTCAAGGCCTGATATCGGCCTACTACTGTCCATCTTCAAGCTGCTAAAAGGCTGCTGAGATACTTAGTTGGTTCTATTTCTCAGGGCATTTTACTTGCATCAAGTTCTGTTGCTACTCTTACAGCTTATTGTGACAATGACTGGGCTGGTTGTCCTATGACTCGAAGGTCTACAACTGGATGTTGCATATTCCTAGGTGATTCTCCTATCTCCTGGAAGGCTAAAAAGCAACATGTCACTGCCAAATTTTCTGCAGAAGCAGAATACAGGGCAATGGCTTTGACTACCTGTGAAGTTACTTGGCTTACAACTCTTTTACAAGATCTAGGCTTGAAGAATTTGCCCCCAACTGTGTCAAATGTGACAATCAAGTTTCTCTTGCTATTGCTGCTAATCCTGTTCTACATGAACGCACTAAACATGTAGAAATTGACTGTCACTATGTGAGAGATCAGATTCAACAAGGCACCATCAAGCCTGAGAAGATTGCCTCCTTGCCTCATGTTCGCAAGCTGATTAGTTGCTGATATTCTAACCAAAATTCTACCTGTTCAGTTGCATAATCATCATGTTCGCAAGCTGGGAGTTTCATCCTTGCCTCACTAGCTTGAGGGGGGTATTAAGGATAATTACACCAAATAATTGGATTTGTTAGAGAATCCAATGAGCTGTCATTATTCCGTTATTCCTTTTTGTCATTTAGCTTTCTGTTATTTTGGGTGCATGAATGTTTTGATTCCTGCCAGCTAGCTTGTATTACTCCTTAGTGCATGTATTAAGGAGGTAAGGTTGTAACCGTTTTCCTTAAGCAATCAAAATATCTCTATTCTCTCTCTCTCTCTAATTTTTCTCTCTAATAATTCCTCTGTATTGAGCTAATCATATCAGATTTATTTAACTCATCATAAGGTCCTTCTTATTTGACCCTATATATATATATATATATTTTAAAACAATATATACTTTTATACTATTTTTATATAAAAAAAATTTATGTAAAATAAAATAGTTGATATAATAATAGTTTGTAGTAAACTAATATTATAACTAAAAAAGTGTGTAATATTAACAATTATTCTTTATTTTGGAATCTGTATTAATTATGTTCGATTGTGTATAATTATAACTAAAAAAAAGTGTGTAATATTAAAAAGGGTGGGGATTAGGCGGATCTTAGGTGGGGATTTATTAGTGGGGATTGATATCCAGGTGTGGGGTGGGGTGGGGTGGCGATCGATGGTTTTGAAATTGTGTCCGCCGGTGCAAGGATAGGGATGAATTTTGGACCCGCTGCGGGGTTGGGGATGAAAATTTTAGGTGGGAACGGGGATAGGAAGGCCAACATCTGCCCCATTGACATCCTTATTTACGACGAAGTTTGTTTGAAAGAGTTATGGTTGGGCTCAATGCAAAGGTCAAGCAGGGCTTATTACTGTAACACCTGGGTTATCTTCCCTTCTTCAAAGTTGTCTATATGTTTTTTTTTTTTTTTTTTTTTTTTTTTTTTTTGAAATCGTCTATGTGTTTAATTTAGTTACTGTAAAAAAAAGGTTATTTCATATTTGGTTGCCTTTAAAGTTGACTGTTTTACTCCCATCTCAAATTTTGTCCAATTTGTTGTTTAATTTGTTTACTGCAGATTGATTCTTGATCGACATGATCCTCAGTTTTGGTTGTGCTATGTTATAAATTGCAGTTTGCAAAACATTCCAGAAATTACTATATATTTTCTCTACTATACAAATAAAAAAAACCAAATGCATAATCTAAAAAAAAATTTATTAACTTTATTATATACTTTGTATATACATACATAAAAAATTAGCTTCATCATAAAACTACAAGAATACAATAGTTTCTTGTTCAACTAATTATTTACCATTTTACCTTGCCGAGTATTAACTTTAGAGTGTAATACTTAAAATGTGAGATCAAACACATCTACACGTATCACTTTTGTGTGTGACTATCTATATTATTTACCCTAACAAAACCATGGTATAAATGCCGTTCGATTTGGTGAGGCTAGCTAGAGAGTTGAATCCGACTTTTTTATTTTCAGAGAGCATTGTACAAAGGAGAGAAAAGCTCCATTTGATGGATGAACTGTACATCATGGATAATCGGGTTACCCGTTCTTCCTGGAGGAGATCCGGAATAGGATGGAGAACAACCACTACAAGTAGATGCATATCCTTCATTTAACCTCTGCAAAAATGTAATTAAACATGATATGATATGATATAATTTAGAATACTAATTACTCGATAATATTCATTAATTGCTAACCTTTTCTTCTAGCAAGCTCAAAATTGTGTTCCTTCCATCCCTATTTGGCTGATTTGTTGGCCTATAATGCAACATAAGAACTAAGAAACTTTTACCCTTTTTTTGGGCTGAGAAAAGATTAACAATTATGAAAGCACAATCATATTTGGATTTGAGAATTCATGTGAGTTATAAGATCTTCAAAAGTGTTACAGTAGGTAATTATGGTAGTAGATAAAATTCGAAATTTATTACAATATCTTCCAATAAATAAAAATAGTTTCTTTATCTGTTAACTTCTTTAATTTATCTACTAGTATTAAGAATTCTAAATTCTAATCACCCCCTTGATGCCCTTAATTAAAGTTTTGGATGTACAGAGTTTATAAACTTTAATTACTCTTTTAGGATTATTTCATTTATTTGTATAGGATAAGTATTTTAAGAAAGCTTAGGTTCGAAATCATTTGCTAAGAAATCTTTAAAGCAAACGGAAACTTACGTTCATCATATTATGTCAAATTTTCGAATCACTATTAATATACTTCGTGATCACAAGATGTTTAAATCATATGTGAGAAATCCAAATAAAAACTTTATCTAAAATTGGATGAGAAATCTTATTTTGACGTGAACAGGGCACCTTATGTATATAAACAAACGAAACATGGAGAATTATAGATATAAACCTGTTCTTGGTGCATCTAGGAGGCTTGAGAACTTCAGGGATGGCGGTAACAGGGCGACGTGGCTTTGGACAAACAGGTCGGTTCTTGCTTCCGCCATTTGACTGCTCTAACTCAATTGAATCCCTTAGACTGTTCTTCGTAACTTTACCTCTCATTCTCTTTGATCTCCTCTGAAAATTTAACACACCTCAAGAAGCTCGAAAACGTCGTGGTGATGACTTTATATGCCACTTAACTCCTTTATTCACAAGACATTCATGTGGCATATATAAACAGGAGTGTCAAAGATTAAAATTAGCCACATTTTAGAGAGATAATTATGCTTTATAAGTATGGAATTAGTAGGAGTTGGGCCATAATGGTCTCTTAAAGCAACAAGAGTAGAATGTTTTGCTTGGTTGAGAGTGGATTTAGGGAGAAGCATTGACCAAATCCTCATTTATAGTAGGAAACTTCTGTTTTCTTTTCTCTTCTATTCATTTTCTTTTTCATCTTTTTTTACACTTAGAAATAAGTATATTATAACTCGTTCTGCACATGAATCTCATGAATAAATTCGCAGTTTTAATGTCTCAGCCACCTTAGATTACAGAAAAAATCATCTGACAGCCAGTTTCTTCATATCTCACATGGGCGGGTTTGCAATCCCTGTATAATTGAATATATTACCCAAAACAGATCCAATGCATTTCGGAATTAGTGAAAAGACCGAGATCCTCTCTAGTAACTGGACGATCTAGTTACTGGCTTACTGCCTTATGGGCGGAGTTTAACAATATACGGTGGTTTTCTTTCTTTTCTTTCAATCTAATGACTCGGGATAATCTTCTCTCCTAGAACCTTTTTTTTTTTTTTTTTTTTTTTTTTTTTTTTTTTTTTTTGCGCATGTGAAATTCTAAAGGGGGCAAATGACCAAAAGCAAATACAGAAAACAAAGAAATGTATGCACGACTGAATCACTGAAGTAAAAAGAATATATCTAAATATAAGCAATAAGAATTATGTACATGAACCAAAAAAGTAGTAACCGTGTACTCACTTGCAAACCCATGACAGATTTATACATTATGAACAAGAGGAATTCAATCTGCAAGTGTAGAAACCTCGTATCAACTATAAATTGTATCCCAATCAAACCTAGGTTGTGAGAACACCTCATAATCAATCGGCCCTTCCAAAACACGATCAACAGTCTGCACATCTTGTAAGATGGCAGGCTGAAAGCCATCGCTTACTGATGGTAACAGTTTATACATCACCAACACACCTAACGTGAATATTGCTTGTAGCTTCATCAAGTCCCCATGTATTGAAAAGAAGATGAGCATAGAGATCAGATAAAGATCCACACAGAAGCGCATGATTGATAATACTGTATCCATCAGTTTTCCATCGTTACCAGCAGGAAAACCCCGAACTCGGTACACAAATAAGAAGTTGTACTTATCGACCATGTACCTGTAACCAAAGTAAATAGCACCAACTGGAACCACAAGGGGAGCAAATGAGGAGTAGATCATTGTAAGGGCAAAAATGGTGAGGTTAAAAGCATAATACAGAGCAAAATCGAAGTTTTGCTTAGGCATGGGTGAAGCTCCACTAACTGGATAGACAGAGAGATCATGTCCCTGTAAATCAATCACATTCAACCTTCCACCATTTCTAACTGCAGGCTCAAATTCTTCTTCGGACATCAAAGGTCTGCGAAGGGTATCAATTACATCAGAATCTAGTGGATAGTCTTCAGTGTGTTCAGGTACTAGTTGAAGCATGTCATTCTTACGAAACTTTTGCAGATTTCTCTTTATCCATGGAATTGGCGCAAGTAAATCAACAGATATACCCAGGAAAGTGCAAGTAATCAGAAATGCAAGTGACGAAAGGCATGATTTAGCCAAAAAGGAAGCACTCATATAATTCTCAATCCTCTTGCAATCTTCCCCATCCAAGTAACATCGCCCCATGCTCAGGATTGTGCTCTCAAGAGAAGACTCAACCAAACCCCTTAAAACTATTAGGTTTACCAAAAAGAAGCAAACCATTTTGATCAGTGCAGCCCTTTGTTCCCCTGAAACAGTAAGGTGCTTTTCAAACTTGGAGAGATAGGACAAAGCTGCTGGGATTAGTATATACATGCTCACAAACACAAGCACATTAGGCAAGAACTGAAGAAATATTGCTGCGATCCAACTTGAGCTTTGCAGCCAAGATAACCATGATTCAGCATTATCCATGGCTTCTGCATTGATAATCCTTCCAGCCCTCTGTAAAGCAGATATCACAGCAAGAGGGGAGCTGAAGAACAAGAGCATCAATAACAAAAGGGTATTCACAATAACCCTCCGCAATTTCAAGGATACTTTTGTTGAACCTAAATGACGCCAATATATATCAGTTGCCAAAGGCGCTCGTTCCACTCTCCACTGACTCCTTTGCAGCTGCAACTCAGTTAACGAAAAGAACCTCCCAATCCTCATTCGCTTCTCCGTCCCAAAATCCTGGACAGCCTTGTTTGCAGTATACACGTCCTTGAAAACCACAAAAGCAACCCCTGCTCCTGGTCCTGCGCCTTCCTTATACGCAGCCACCTGAGTCTCGAGATCAGCTCTCAACTCCTGCAACCTCCTCAACCTCTTCTCATCGGTCCAACCCAATCTATCACACACCTCCCCCCACACCCCTTCACCTTCCCCCAAACACCATCCCCTCCCTCATAATATCCCATATACTCACCCTCCTCTTCGTCCTCACCATACACAAAACGAGCATCCATCTTTGCCACCAACTTGGAAATATCATCCCTAACCCTAACCAAATCCTCCACCAAATCATCCAAATTCGACAAATCCATAGGAACAATCACCCTATAAACCTTCCCAGGATACTTAGACTGAAAATACTCCTCAAAGGGAGTCTTATCAGTAGCCAAACTCTTAGGCACACCCTGCACCATAATAGTAAAAATCGCACTCGAAATCGCACTAGGGTCACTAGGATATCCATTACTATCTCTAAACCTAGTGAATTTCAACCATTCCTCAACCTTAAAAACACCTCTATGCACCAAATACACAATACAAACCATGAAAACAAAATGAACCCACAAAGGAAACGAACCTTTCGCAATATGGGTAATCGTCGTTTTCGAGAATACATCATCCATCGCCGCATTCCCTGCATAGATATTGAGCAAAACCGCGAACAAAGCAACAACAGAAGTAGCAGAGAGGGTGGCAAAGGTACCGCCTTCGATCACGAGGAATTGCGACGCATCAGCACCGCAATGGAGCGCGATCTCGCGCGCAGTGGCATGCCAAACAGCGAGGAGCTTCGACAGGAGAGAGAAAGGGCCGGGAATACGGCGGTGATCGCTGCGAAGCTTAACAAGAAGGAAGATGCACACACATGAAAGAGCTCCGATTGCGGAGATGTTGAGAAGGTACTGGATGTTACCGTACCATGTGAAGTCGTCAAAGGTTGGAGGAGGTAAAGAGGGTGAGATTTCCGCCATTGTTGAAAGCTTCTCTCCTCCCAAGAATGGTGAATTGGGGGAGGAGAGAGAGTGGAAAAGGAATTAGGGTTTAAATTGGGGAAGAAGAAAAGAGGGAATCATTAGATTGATTGAAGAAGTAGTAGAATTGGGAATTAAGGAGAGAGAAATTAGGGGTTGGGGAATTTGATTGAATTAGAGGAAAGAAGATGGGAGAGTCAGAGGGAGATGCTAGATGAGGAAAGGAGGTGAACAAATATGTTTGTGTTGCTAATCTAATCTGACTGCAGATTTACGAGTAATTACAAATACGGAGTGCATAGCAGGTATAAAGCTAACTCAAACAAATTTGGGCCCTATTGATGATGCTCGGAGTGTTTACTTCACCTTAGAGAAAATAATTTTACTATGCACCTATGTTAAATTGTCAATTTAATGATAATATTTTTAATTATAATTAAGTAAAAATTATAATAATTGAATATCAATCAATCATATCATATCACATAACTAATGTATGAAACTAAACTTTTAGTCAGGTCACGAGCCAGCGCCACTTGACATTCCAACTTTTCCCCAATTGTCGCGCCACGTTGGATAGATTTAAATAGACTGAAAAAAAATTAGTTTAGAATTCTATTTTTATCAAATTAAGATAGAATTTTAGGAGAAAATTGTTAGCTTGGAGTTTTATTTACGGTAAAATACCAATATTTTAAAGTACAAATTGAATTATAATTTTATTCAAAAAAATTATTAGATTATAATTCTCAAAAACTATCATATAAATTTAATTTTTATATCATAAAATTTTTGGAGCGAAAGAAGTATCTCAAAGCGTAAAACATCCAATTATATACTATATACTATCGGTTAAAATAATATACTTCACAATCTAATAGAATTTTGTTACTATGTAGACCTGTCAATTAGGGTCGAGTTATGAGTCATCTCAGATTAGGTCACTTCAGGTTACAAGTCAAGAAATGTTCAACGCTTGCCCAAAATTTTTAATTCCGGTCAACCCAAGGGCTTTGAACATTTATTTTATTTAATTATTATTTGCTAATTTTTTTTTTTTTTTTATGTTTTTTAATGTATTAAATCGAACATTTCCACTAACATTATTATTAGTCATTACAAGCCTACTAAATAGAAAATCGTCACAAAAGCACATCAATTCCTAACTAATTTTGTATAATGATATATTTTAAAATTTGACATACAGATTACATCTCACCCGCATTCATTAATGGAAACTGTCACGATCCGGGAGTTTGAGCCCCGAAACGTTGGCACTCTCTAGCCTTTTGGCGGCAAGAACGCTAGCCTTGAGTGGAAGAGGGGCTTGTGAGCACAAAGCAACACAAGCAGCAATTAATCACAGGACCACTCGCGTCTATTTAGGCGACGGGGTGCGGGTGGTCGAGGCTTGTGACGGCTGATACCTTAAGGCGAGCACAAGCGGGTTCGAACCACGAGTTCTTAGTGCATCAAGTTGGGTTGGGGAGGAGCTAGTATGCAAGTAAGACACAATATCTATAAAGGTCTAACAACAAACAAGCATAAAAACAAGGCAATACTTGGTAGAAGGCTTAAGATTTTATTTTCGTAATTTTGCGAATTTGAAACTTTTTTCCAATTTTTTAATTTTTAAGGCAATTACATTTACTTTATGACTGATTTCATTTAGTTTTACTAACTTTTCATTTACTTTTTAGAAATGAAACTTGAAATCACTTTATAAAGTTGAAATATTATAAAAATGTCATTAATGACACGGGAAGCATGTTGACCGTCTGATTAACATGATCTAAGAGCCTAGATTAGTTCCTAGTTCTTATTATATCCTTGGTTCTCATTATAACTTGGTTATTATAGTCTTGGTTTTCATTATAACTCAATGGGAAGATACGAGTGTAGGAGTTTATAGGTACTAATTGCGGAAAAACATGAATCATATTCATACAGTACCTAATCCCAAGATCTAATGCATAACACATAAAGAACATATAATTGTACCTTTGAAGCGTGATTTCCACGTGCAATCAAGCAAGAACAATGGGAGATAAAGAACCCCAAGTGTGATTCCTCTACTTGGTCCACGGGCACAAGTTAAACCTCCACTAATGCTAGTTAGTCGTGATTGAACGCTTCAATCAACCTTCAACGGAGAAGAGAAACACGAGCTAAACACGAACCACCACGATGAACACCACGAGCCACCACGATGGGGCGCCACACGTACGAACGTGAGGGGAGAAGGGAGGGCCGTGAGTGAGGAAAGTGTTTAGGGTTTTGGGACTTGGTTGCTTGTTTCACAATTCACTGAATGTTCATTGTTATATTCAACCCTAGGCATGGATCTTATTTATAGATCATATCTCTAAATAAGAGTCCATGTCAAGCCCAAACACCTTATCCTAAACACACTACTCTAGCCCAACACTCTACATGGGATGTCATAATCTCATGAGGCCCATTAATGGTCCTCTTACTTGTTTAACCCAATACCCTTGTTGTGTGACCTCATATGATCCATTCTATTGGGCTTTGGGCTATTTAACTAGCCCAAATATCATTTTTCATATCTAGCAACAAACAATGACGACCTAAAAGAACGAACTTATTATCTCCATAATAGTGATCCTTGATATATCTAGTAATTGCACTTATCAAAGACATAACTCCTTCAATCTCCCACTTGTCTGAGACAAGTGCGCAATATTCAAATTCCTTAAGTCAATGTGTGTCGATTTGATAATATGATTGCATCCCATGTCGTGATCATATTAGTCTACAAATCTTTTCTTGAAAAACTGAGTTAGATTCACAGAACAAATGATTATTATGTAATCCATTTGAGCACGGCCATGCATTTTCTGAATTCTCCCTTTTCAAGGGGCCAAAAGACACATTCCTAATTAAATAGGTAGACTCAATCCAATCTTGTGGCAACCAAGGCTCCCACTCAACTCATGAAGTAACCGGAAAACACCCTTTATAATCTTCAGTTACGGCTAGACGTTTGAGTGTACCACAATTAAATCAATCATTGAATGGAATCAGTGTTCCACTCATGTCAAACGAATCCACTATTATATCCGGAAGCTCTATACTTGAACTTCAAATTAGGTCTATAGTTTGATCATGCGTCATTCATGCATATCCATGTGATTGACCGAGCTTTACTACGCTCCTATGGCCCATGAAACTGCGCTATCCAATCAATCTTACATGCTAGTCCATTTATTGAAATAATTTATTTCCACTTTAATGGTTTCGAACTAGGAACTTAAATAATATATGAATTTAGTTCACCTATGGGGTTTCATTCACCAGGTCATTAACCTGATGAACCCATCAATTCATTATTATTTTAGACATTTTATTTAACATCAAAAACCATAATTAAATAAGAGAAATAATAAAATTTCTGATTAAACATAATTCTGCAAGTTGATGTATTACTTATGTAAATGCTTTCTCAAAATATATACAACTTAAATTACATAACTTGCTTCAATCCAAGAATCCTTAGTATGTCTCTCATACCTTGATCATGAAAGGGGTTTATTAAGTAGAGTTCATGAGACATTCTCATAAACATGAATTTTGCAATTTCTAAATTTTATAATAATATTCATCTCCATACTCTAAGAATTTTCCTTTGTCCTTTCACAAGGAACTTAGGAATTTCTAATTTGTATTCCAACGTTATATTGAATTTCGATTGAAATCTATCATCACTTGTTCTTTAAAACACGTGAATCAATTAGACGAGTATAGTCCATGACATACATGATGCATCCTTTGCATGTTGCATAAGGATCATCACTCAAAACCTTAATTTCATCAACCTTTCTCAAAGTATTGAATCATTAAGAAATGTGTCATGTTACATGGGATTGAAACTCTTTCAATATAATGTTGAACCTAATAAGAATCTTATCAATATAAGCTTATTAACCAAGCTCAAAAATACTTCAAAACCTATCTCTGTAAATCTTGAATCCCAACTGTACTCATCTTCCTCTTCAAGGTTTTTCATACAAAATGCACTACCCACCACTTGACTCTTCAAGCAATGAATAATTTGCTCTTTATACTAGACCAAGAAGACTTTATAGCTCCCACTAAACATCTTGTACACACAAGACATTTTCTTCATTTTACGAGAACAACAAATGATTTGATTAGCTCACAAAATTAAGAACACTAACTCCATGATGCTATGCATCCCTAGGATTATTGGATCTTCAAAATCATTCTGATTGTATCATATACAAATATTTTTTCATGAACAATTTCAAGAAAGCGTTTTGAAATCCATCTACCAAATCTTATAAGATAGAAATCACTAAAATATCTTTAATAGATCTTTGTAACATGACTAATGTAAAGGTTTCATCGTAATCATGGTCATACTATGAATTAGTTGAATCCTCTAACAAGTCTTTGTTTTAGTTAGAAAACATTTTTCTTTCTTGTTGTAGGGAATATTTAAAGCATTATCCCTGGCTTGAAACCCACTGTGATCATACACTAAAGTATGGTGGCGTCCAAAGGGAAAGAAGATAGAGCAAAAGAGTTGCCAACAAGTTTTAGGAACTTGTAAGCCGTTCACAGGGTGAAGGTTACACCCCTTAACGATCCAAGAGATCGTTAACTCCAATAGATTTGGAACCATGACTGGTAGTTCGGGGATGAAGGTACAAATCCAGCCTAAAAGAGATTGAACCTGCCCTAATAATAGGCCTCTACTTTATTCTTCTCGTATTCATGTGCGCTTTCTGACTAACATGCAATCAATAGGATTACCCTAAACCTGTTTATCTATGTTGGTTAAATATTAATGCACAAATAAAACTATTATTGACGATCACTTGAATTATAATCAGATTAACCCTAAACAAGATTATTAATTATCTTATTAAGCGTGATTATCCGTTAAACATGCATAAAAGGTGTGATCAAGCAATAACAACAAATATATATCAAGCAACATAATCATCATAAATAATATTCAAAATTATAATCATCATAATAATTATAAAAATAATCATAATCATATCAACGCTAAAGCATAATAATGGCAAGATCCTAGGCATGATACTAACAAGATTAATAACAAACCCTAGCATGTCACTAAACAATAAAGATCAAATATTTAGCCCTAACATGATACTAACATGAATATTAGGAAGAAAATAGGAAGCAGCACAGAAATCACAATTGTCATATTTGATATTAGAAAGTATAGTTGTTACCCTAAACATGATACTAGGAAGATCAAAACACCCTAA